TAGCCTGGATGGAATATAAAGGGAAGAAAGAAGACAGCTTGTTGCTTTCTGCCTGCCTAGAAGTGCACTGTTTCTTATCCTCCATGCCTAGAGCCAACAGAATATGGGCTGAAACCTCTGTAAAGTGTGAGCTGAAAAATACATTTCTGTGGCCAGAGATACAGCACAAGAAAGCAATTTGCCTGCCTTCTTGGTAAACTAGCCAGGAGAAGCAGAGGAGGCTAAGGGAGACCCAGCCATGTTGAAACTATGCCTACCTGCTTGCATGAGAATCAACATCCCCTCCAGCCCATCAGCAAACTTGGGATGGAGTTCTAAGCATCTCTTTGGGGGATGACCATATGCAATATAGCAAATAAGAGAGATTTCCTTCCATATCCTATTTGAAGGCAAAGGTCATTTTCACTGTTACATTTTGTAATGATTGTTATGCTCTATTCAATATTCCCCCTCAATTATTTTTACAATGATCTGTTATTGGTTTTATTTTGCTATACCTAATTGATGTACAATGATTGTGAAGATAATGAGATACACTGTAGTATCTATTACCAGTATCCTGCTTTAAAGTTCTGTACCAGTGTCACTACATTGTCTTGACTGGCTTTGTTTTATCTTATTCTATTGTATTTTTACTATAGTCTAAATAAAATTTTAATTTTCTTTAAAAAAATGAAAGGCAAGCCAGGCATGGTTGTGCACACCTGCAGTCCCAGACATCTTGGATAGGTAGGTGGATTGTTGTGAATTTGAGGCCAGCCAGGGTTACAAAGTGAGCTCAAGGACAGCCTGTACTTCATAGTGAAAGACCACAAAGCAAACAAAATATAAAGAAGATACTTAAGAAAACTTATAGAAGAGTTTAAACCATAGTTGTGTGGATATGTCTACTCCAAATTTTAGCATTTACTATGCATGTGTGTGGTTTCCTTTGAATCATCATGTGAATGGTGTAAATGTTCAAATCTGAACAATGTTTCCAAATGTGCAAGTGATGGCACAAGCAGAGAGTCAGTCCCGCTGTGTAGCTACATTACAGACTGATTGCCTCACACCTGCAAGTTCCTGGGTTTCATCTACAGATCTGCACTAGAGAAGAAAGAATAGCAACTTATGATGGTGGGTGTGTATAGTCACAACAGTCTGGAAGCCTGACTCACAGAGAGAGGCTTGGGTCTGGCTGGCCCCACTTCAGTGGAGGTCCAGTCTTGACAGTGGTTTGCAGGCGGGGTCCCATCCTGGTGAGGCCTGGTTCTCTTCCTCTGCATTCTGCAAATGCCTCCAATGCTTTTAGAAAGGAGAGCTATGTAAACTTGCACACCTTTCCCTCATTAAAAATGAAAATAAACACAAAACTTATGCCACCCCAAAGACCTAGCTTCAGGAGACTCAGCACTGTAGTGTGTAAGAAGGTACCTGAGCTTGTTGCAGTCATAATTCCTGGTTGTTCATTGCTCATCTCCACGGTCCCATCTTCCCAGCAAGGTATCTTGGAAGATATAAACATGCTTTCTTCATCTCTTTTTGTTTCTTTATTTCACTTTGATTTTAAACAAATTATTTTCTCGTTTACATTTTCTTGTTGATGTTTTGAGACTGGGTCTGACTGTGTAGGTTAGTCCAGTCTTGAACTCACTGTGTAGGCCAGGCTGGACTTACACTCATAGAGATCATCCTGCCGTAGCCTCCCCACTGCTGGGGCTACACGCATGTGCCACCATGCCGGGCATCTTTAGACTTTCTTCATGTGGAGGACTACACTCCACTCATGAGCCTATAAGAGTGTTTATTCTGTTTGTTTAAGGTTTCACTGGATTTCAAAATAGAAATTAATTGAATTAAGATCTTTAGTTTGTTGTCATTTTGCTTTGAAGAAGAATTTATGAGCTAGGCCGGGTGCCCCACACCTCTAATCCCAGAACTCTAGGAGGTTGAGCCTGGAAGGTCACTGGAAGTTCACACGCAGCCTGAATAACTTATTCACTTAGCAAGATCTCATCACAAGTAAAAATAGGAAACAAAAAGGAGAAAAAATAAATGTAATCAGGCTTGGATGCAGCTGTAAGGGCCTGACTCAGCAACACTCAACTTGCCAGCTTTCACAGGTGTGAATGGACCTCACACTGGGTTCTTTATGCTTTAAGTTGTATATTTTGGTGAGAGGGTGCGGGAATCACTTTGTATCACTTACGAATAAATCTGGTGGATGAACTTATTCTTGATATAGAATTTGTTCATGAATCAGGGATTTAGTGTACACAAATACTTTCAGCCCTGCTTTATTTCTTTTACCTTTATTTCCTTACCTCCCTCCCTCTTTCCTCCATTCCTTCCTTTTTCGTTTTCACTACTAGCAATAGACCCCACCAACATGCCAATTCTTAGGTTCTGTTTTGTTTTGAGTTCAGGGCATTGCTTAGGCCTAAACTTGTGCTCAAGTTGAGATCATTTGCAGCAGCCTACAGAATGCTGGGAAAACAAGTCTGAGCCAGTAGGCTGGGACAAACTTTTCCTTTTCCTTGATTACTTGGTTGGAAGGTTCCTAGGTCCACAGTCACCTCCTAGCTCAATGCATAGGAAAATCTAAGTTTAAGTTTGTTTCTCGCTGATGTGATCATCAACAATGTCCCAAGTTCATCTGACCTTATGTTTACAGTGCAAAAATGTTACAGCCACTGATACAGCTCAGTTGTTTTGCTTTCATGGATGTTTTCAAGTTCAGTTTCCAGTTTATTTCTGATTAGTGTTTCCCTTTTTCCCAATGACATGGCCTTACTTCCCATGACTGCTGTCCCTTCCATCCTGGGCTTAGAGGACATAGGTGCCATAGTCAGCAGGAGGTCCTCTGTCTTTCAGAGGGTCCCTCAGGAGGTTTGGTGTCCTGTAGCTGTGGGGACCCGATGGCAGCATTTGCTGTATGTGGGCTATTAGGAAGCACCTTTACACCATAGGGGAACCTCAAGTCTATGAGACACAATGGCTCTCAGGAGAGTTCCGGTCAAGGGTTCAAGTAATGCCTGGGTGCAGCGAGCTCCATGACCCTGTGAGGCTTCTTCTGTGTTTGCTAATGTTGTTTAAAGTGCCAGTGAAAAAGCTTGAGTTCCTAAATGAAAATCATATTTCTATTTCTGTTGTTGTTTGAGACAAGGTTTCATTATGTAATTAATGCTGGCCTTGAACTCATAATGTCAGTTCTGGCACTGAACACACAATGATCTTCCTGCCTCAGTTTCCTGAGTGCTAAAATTAGAGATATATGCCAACATTACTTGGCCTAAATGTTTTAATAAACTATTTAAGAATTGAAAAAAAGAACTAAACTAAATGGCAACAACAAAAAAGTGATAAAATGCAATAAATACACAAATTGCTTTTACTAGACCCTTAAAATAGACTTTTGGAAATGTCTGTGCAGTATACACCTACTGCACATGTGAGTGAGAGATAGATAGAGAGAGAGAGAGAGAGACAGACAGACAGACAGACAGAGAGACAGACAGACAGACAGACAGAGACAGAGAGAGAGAGAGAGAGAGAGAGAGAGAGAGAGAGAGAGAGAGATTGTATGTGTGTCTGTGTGTGTGTTAATTTTAGGAAAGGTTTTGCCTTAGTCCAGGCAGCTGCTAGGTTTATCATCCACTTCCTTCTGCCTCCTGATTGGTGGGATTAATGATCTGAAACACTCTCCTGGCTGAGATCATTAGACTTGCTGATCACTGAAGCAGAAAGCAGAAATGGAACCTGGATCCCTCCACTTGTATTCATGCTTTGGTAAGTGTTGATTAGGATCTCTAAACACCCAGGCACGTTTTCTGGTCAGGGGCTATATTTCTGGTCGGGAGCTGCCATGCAGCCACAGCCAAGAACAACAGTTTTTGAGTGGCAGTCGAACAGCTTCCTTTCTTCCCTGATTTTAGGATTCCAGGAAATTGCCCAATCCAGCACTGCAATCAATAGGGAGGAAAGAATGGATTAGAGGTTGAAAATCCATAGGAAGTGCAAGATTGGATTGAAGCCTAAAAATCCTTCAAGAGCTGGGTGAGGCGGCACATGCCTGTAATGCCAGCATTTAAGGGACTGAGGCAGGAGTATGGTCAGTAGTGGGGGCTGCACAATGAGCTCACACTCAGCTTGCCCTGCAAAGCAAGACACTGTCTTTAAAATATCCATGAAAAATGCGAGACTGTTTTAAATAAAACTGGTCAAATAAACGGGATAGAAAATTTTTTTAATATTTCAAAAACCATTTCATTGTCTTTGAATTCAAAGGAATATAAACCAAAAACCAAAAAAAAAAGCAATAAAAAACACAAACAAATCATGATCATTTCAACTGACAAAATCTTTGAGAAAATTCAGTCATGAATTCATGGAATTTTAACCCCATCCATGCAAAATAATTCATTTCTTCTAGTAATATGTAGCAAATTGAAGTGAGCATGATAGGAATTTTAGTCCCAGAGAAGTGGCAGGCTGGGCAGATGGATCACATATTGGAGCTTATCAAAGTGCGTACTTCAGCTCATTTATTTATTTTCAGTACGTAGGGTTGAATTCAATACATTCACGCTGAGCTAAATTGAAGTTCTGTTAAAATATTGCTTGATTGATCAACTGATTGATCTATCTATCTGAGACAGGGTCTTTACTTATTTGCTAGCATTCATGCAGACCTTGAATTTACAGTGAACCTCCTGGCACAGCCTCCAGAATTCTGGGAGTGCAGGTGTTAAGCTGAATCTTTAATTTGAGGCAGGATCTGGTGAAATATTCAGGTTGGGTAGGAAATCATGCCTATCCTTCCTTCCATTGGCAGAGTGCTGGGAATAAAAGGGGAACCACCGTGCCCAATTTCTTCTACAATTTTATAAATAAATCTATATCTTTGCTAACTATGTCAATGCCAACACCAGTATTTTTACTGAAAGTGCATTTCTTGGTAACATTTTAAATACTCCAAGCAGACTAGTCCCTGACAAACTGCTCTCACTTGGTGTGAATCACCAGCAGAGGGCAGGCTTGCCCCATAGCTTGGAACCAGCTGCACTAGGGATGGAGCCAGTCTTGTGCTCCCCTGGCAACCCCGTTGGCTGCCAGAGCTCTGCTTTTCTGAGGAATTCTGAAGAGCTGGTGGCCACATGGAAAACCATGTTGCATTTGTGCACTGTGTCCCTGCTGTCTTCTCTTCCTGAGAACATGGGAAGTGTGTTGATTGTGAGGGAGAAGGTCCATTGTCCCAAGTCTCTGTAGTGTATCACATGTTCTGTGTACCTAATCAACACAAAGCATGAACATGTCCTGAATCAATAGCATTTAGTCTTCCAAGATGTGAAAGAAGCTAACAGTGTATAATCAAAGCAGATTTAGTTAATGGATAGTTTCAATGTGTGTTGCACTATAATTTCTTGCAGAATTTATGGATGTGGTGGCAAATGACTACAATTCCCATGATGGGAAGGCTGTGGGATTTGGATTGCAAGACTTCAAGGCTAGACAGTGCTACATAGTGACTTCAGGACCTGCCTAAGTTGAATAACGAAACCTTGTCTCAGTAAATAAATTGTGAGAAAGATTTTTTGTTTGTTTGTTTGCATCCTACTGCAAATCAAAACTGGGACAGTGCTATGGTTGATACATGATGTCTACTTGAGAAGTTGAGAAGTTGAGCTAAGGGACTCAGTAGGGAGCCAGGGTCCTTACTTGTAAACATCCTCATTCTGTGTAAGAAGAGAGTAAGGAGGTTTAATGAATGCTACATCTTCCCTGGATGGATAGTTGTCTTTGGAGAATATAAGGGATGGAAAGAGGCTTGCTCTCCCCCACTTTTGCTCTTTTTGCTTTTGAGGTCTTTCACCACCTTGAACTGTTGCTCAGTGGCATTCCACCTTGACTTGGAGCCAGCTGGTTATGGATGGAAACCTCCACAAATCATGAGCAGATAAGTTTCTAACCACATGATTCTGCCACATCCTCAAGGCAATGATTCAACATGGTGAGGAGAGCACAAAAAGACACCCTGTCTGTTTTTCTCCTCCTGTGCTACAAGCCCAAAAATAGACTTCCTGGCTCCCCCCCCCCAGTGCACACCAAGGATTCCTCAATCCCCAACCTTCACATTCTAACACATGGCAATGATGCATCACTGTCAGCTAACCAGACCCCTCCCCCAAGAACATAAATTTGTAAGTGACCCTGAATCCTATGTCCAGAAAGAGCTCCTGCATTCTCATAGTGTGCATCTCTCCTGTGCTTGCATTAAAGATCTGTTGTTGTCTCTCTCCTCATTTCTGCAACTTTAGATTGAGTAACAAAAATATTCAATCATGAGCTACATAAACCTTTCCTTCCCTAATTTTGAGTGTCAGGTATTTCATGCCAGCCACAGGAGAAAAGTAACCACGATAGACATCGATTGCTCATCTACTTGTTCAGTTTTGTGTCTCTTTCTATTTTGAGATAGACTGTTGCTACATAAGCCAGGCTAGTTCTGAACTTGTGCTTGTATCTCAGCTTCTCAATACATTGAGCCTAGATGCATGCACTGTAAGCCTGAGTATGAAAAGTTAAGTGGTTTTGGTCATTCATGGGCCACCAGAAGGAGAACTAGATGCCAGCCTCTTCCTGTGGCTGCACCATAACCATTGAGAAGAGAAGCAGACACCAGCCCTTTCTGCCCAGGGTCTAGTAGAAAAGAAGAGCCAAACTCCCTGCTTTCCCTACTTCTGCCTTAAGTTACTGGTTTTTCTGGAGTAACACAGGCTGAGAGAGCTATTGAAATAAAATAGAACTTAATGCTTGCAGTGTTTAGTGTTCCACTGACTTTCAAGGCATAAACCCAGTAGTCTGACCATCTAGTTGAACAGAACAAAACACAATAGAGCATCTATGGGAGATCTCTTTCTGAGCTGCTAGCCATTGTTAATTGCCTATTATCTTGTTCTAAAATCCTGTATCATTTTCACTATTTTTTTGTTTTATTCTGTTTTGTCTTAATTAATTTTATTATATCTGACAGCATGGGCCATTATTTGAAAGACAAATGTTATATTATCTTTGTCTTTGTATTTACAATTTGGATTTACTATTATCTTGTTTTGAAGCCCTATATTGAGTTCCTTGTTTTGTTTTTGTTGGTTCTATTCTGTTCTGTTTGTAAGATTTTACTATGTTGGGGATATGGGAGCTATTTTGAAGTTAACAAGAGACAATGTAGCATGTGCCCCAGTATTTCAAATGTGGCCATGTACCATCACACTGTTCTCGGGAAAAGACTATTTTCTTTTAAATTAGCAAGGATTGATTAAATACAGGAAAAGAAACAGGTTCTGGAGAGTGAGTTTGGGCCCAAACAAAAGTAGGAAAGAAGCCCATGCTAAAGGATGGGGACAGGGCTCCATGCGTGATGACAGAGATTGATGAGGAAAGACTTTTTAAAAGCACTTAGCACAGTAGCACATCTGAACTCCTTTAAAGCACTGCAGTGTATCCTGCATCTCCACTTCTAACCAGTGTTTCCTATGTGTGTGCGGTTTCCTCAGGAGCACTGTATCAGTGGTGGGAATGTTCACTCCCTACTGGCAGCGTAGAATCTGCGTAATGTTTCAAACTGTGAAAGCTATGTAATAGACAGGGGGCTGGTGTTGTGTGTAGCTCTGTGACAGACTGCTTGCCTGACATGTGCAAGCTCCTGGGTTTAATCCATGAAAATACAGTAGGTCACAAAGATTTGCCACTTATGGTTGTGGTGTGTTTGTGGCTCTCTAGAAGCCTGAGGCAGGGGAGCCAAAAATCAAGTCCAACCTGGGAAAACAGCTACTTAGTCAGACTGCAGTCTGTGTTTAATTTTGTTTCTTTGTTTGCTTGCTTGCTTGAGTTTTCAGGCAGTCTCCCAGTATTTTTTAGGTTGGTTTGCTTTGAACTCCCAGTGTAGACCATGCTGATTGTGAACTTGCTGTGATGTTTGTGCCTCGCCCTTCTGCATCCTGTGATTATAGGTAGGTGCTGCCACTCCTGGTGATGCCAGTCTTAAAATAAAAGATAACAAGTGCTGAGTCTGCAGATAGGAGCAAAGGCTACGAGTTCATAAACCAGAGCCTCAGCCAATCAGTACTCAAACTGAAAACTAAAATAAAAAGATGCTGAGAATGTAGAGCAATGTAGAGATCCAAATTCAGGTCCAGGCCCAACCCCCCAGCACACACACACACACACACACACACACACACACACACACACACAATTTCAGGTTTCTGATTATACTTACAATGATGTTATCGCCACCACAGATTAGAAAACTCTATGAAACCCTGAGTTGGAGTTTTGATCCATAACACAGTAGACCATGTATCGAATCAATATGGCAGAGTAGAGCCACTGCAGTTGTGAGAGAATTTCAAGACTGAGGCAGTGAACTGGTTCCTGGGAGGCAAGGTAAGCTGGGGGCTAGGCAGGTGGCTCTGGGTGCTTCTATTAGGACCCTCAGAACAACCAATAACTGTGTCCTGTAATTACAGGATCTAGTCTAAAGCCTGGAAGACTTCTCAGCGTGAGAAAACCAAGAAATTCAGTGGAAGTGTCTTGAGAAGGTGAAATCTAAAGATGAGAGCTGCCACAGAGCTGAGATCACAGCTCCTGTGGGAAGATGAGGGGATCCCAAATTCCCCTTTCTCCTTGAGTTAATTGGAGACAAGAAAACATAGGTGCAAACCAAGGCCCAATCAACCTAGTGGGTTTGAACAGTGGCCTTCACCGTTATTGTCAGTGTTTTTCCCATAGAGGCCATTTTCCAGGCAGACTAGATGCATGGGCAGTGGCCAGAGATTTCAGTCTGAAAGAGACTAAAATGAGGCTGAAGAAACTTCAGTTTTAAGTAAAAAGCAGCTCAGGAATTGAGGGAAAGATGTAGTGGCTTTTTGTTTTGATTTCTTCTGTGTTTTGTGGTAGTAGTCTTTAAGAAGTAAGCCTTGGCCCCAGCTACATCTCTGTTCCTTGTTTTGTTTTGCTTTGTTTGTATACAATGTGATGTTACTTCTACTCCAGCAGTGTGGCTCTCCCTTGGGCAATGAAGCACTGTGTGCTTGTGGCTAAGGACCAAAAACTGAGTCACCAAGACACACCACTGAGCAGTGTGAAGACTTTTGGATCAGGTTACCACTTCCCAAGGAAGGAGTTTTTCTCCTTATTCTTAGGCTGTTCCAGGCCTTGAGTGTGGCACTTGTGGTACAGGATGCTGTCACCAAATTGTTTGGTGTCACAGCAGTTCACATGGTCTGATTTTCCCCAGTATCTCTGCATTTGTTTCGTGTACCTTGGGGTCATCAGTGGCTTCCCATAGCAGGCAAGTTGCTGATCCAAACTCCTACAATTTTTGCAGAAATTCTCCTTTAGTGAGCAGTTCTTTGAAATGAATTTGAGATTAATAACTTTAGGTTAATACAAAACAGAGGCGCAAAAATGAAGAGGAAAATGTAAGTATAAAGGTCCATCCCGGCACTACAAATTTCTCAAGCATTAATGCTCACAAGGGCAAGCCCATCCCTGAAATTCAGAAGGACGTTGTCTGGAATCAAAAATCTCTATGGCTGCATCTCAGTGGGACGACCCTAAGATGAGTTCTTCAACATGTGCAGGTAGGAAGGGGAAGAAAAACCAGGAAACATGGAGGTAATGTATGATTAGAGAAAAGCAAAGGATGGGAAGAGAATGCACAGTATGGAGTATCTCTACTTGATGCTGTGAGTTCCAGAGCCCAGACCTCATTGGTCACACAGCTCAGGGCCTTTTCCCCTCAGTTACTGAAATTCATGAGCTCTAAGCTGGAAATTGGGTCAAATGCTCGAGAAGGAAACCATATGACTCACATTCCCTTTATTTCTGATCATTCCTTTACATACATCCACACATTTATCTCAAGCCTGAATTCACATCTACAAACTCAAATTCCTATTTCTGATCCTATCTAGACCCCAGGTACACAAAGGTCCCTTCTGCTCTGTGATTCTCCAAAGTTGCTGCATGCTGTCCTTGTCTCACTCATATTGACAGAAGGGCTCTGGGTTCCTGGGGCCCAGAAGGAAACATATGATATGCACATTCATCTAGACAGGGACACAGACAGGGCATGGACTAAGGTGAATTTTATGCAATGGCCAGGTGCAACAGCGTTCACAGTGAAAAACACAAAACCAGACTGTCCTAGGATGATTTAGTGGCGTTATGATGCTCCTCATTGTTTCCTGAACGTGGTTCTGTATCTGCTGGTTGACACCATTCCAGGGAATGTAAACCTCTTGAGGAACAGAGTGTAGCTCCAGCCTTAAGTTGCTCATCCTGGCGGTGTGGCACAGCAGGCTCTTCGTGGTGTCTATGGAAATGAAATTCCTTATGAAGCAGAAGGCAGTGAGCTGGGAGCAGCAGCTCAGGGCCGGCAATAAGGCAGAGAGCTGCGCATCTGTGATCCCACAATTTTCCAAATGCAGGATACTCAGGGTGGCTGCAACATTCTCCAGGAGTATTTGGAGGGGCTCAGGACACAAGTCAGTCAGCCTGGTATAACTCAAATCCAAGTGTTTTAGGTGTCTGGTGATTTCCAAGTGAGGCATCCGGTTCCAGTCAGTATGTGAAAGCAGGCAGTAAGTAAGTGAGAGAGTCTCCAAGGGGCACGTCAGGCACCTGCAGAGAGACAAATTGGTTAGACAAAGCATTTTGTGGTGAAAAGTAGGGGCTGATGGGAAAGAGAAACATGGAGGACCAAGTGCTGTTTGAGTAAGCCCAATGTAGGCATGACTCTTCCACCACTTGCTTGAGTGGCCGGGTCTTTAATATTGACAGTCCCCTTTCTCAGACCCAAGCAGGAAAACACAGCTCTTTCCTGATGGAGGTGACAGGAGACAGGCAGGAAGGAAAAATCAGGCAAGATCTGGCCAAGACACGGGTTGCCCAAAAGGCTCTCAGCAGATTATGTGTCCTTGTTCCCTGTCCTGGCAGCTTTTTTCCTTGTCATCATCTCCAGACTCCTGTACTTCCCATCTGGTGACTGGCCCACCATGGGGCAGAGGCATCTCATGGGGACTGTTAGGAGGATCAGAGAAAGGCCCTGGTGTTTATCACCACCTTATGCTAGATAGGCTTCTTGAGGAAGTAATCACATATCTGCTCTCACAACATCTGATGCCATCTCCTGGCTTTCTGGCTGTTCCTTTCCTTCCTGCCTGTTCCAATGTGATGCCTATGTGACACCATTTTATCGGAGTAAGGAATGAAAAAAGCAATGTGTTGGTACTCCAGTGCTTGATCTCTGTCACATCTCCCATGGATGGTACACTGCACATATTCCCTAATCTTTTTAGAACAGAGAAAGGTTTTTCTGCCTCTGCAGAGAGAGCTCCAGTTCTTACCTGAGTATTAGGTCAAGGTGGCCTTCCATGAAGGAGACAGATTTCATATAAATCTCTTGTAGATGTCCAAGCTTATGAAGTTGAGACATGATTTGGGTGATCCACTGATCTCTTTTCTCTGGGTGAATGATGGGAATAGGAATCACAGAGATTTCACACAAAACTAGCTTGTGAAGGTTTCGCATCTGACCCAGAAAAGGGGCAAAAGAAAACAAGGTATATAGTGTCCAGTCATGACCCACACTCAACTCTTGCACTGAATCAAGGTTCAGCATTTCCAAGACCTCTGTGATCTTTTCAAAGCACCTGGTTGTAATACACAGCTTTGTACAATCCAGCTGTACTAGGTCTTTCCTCTCTTGGGCCCACTTGAGAAGGTAGGATTGGAATGGACGCCCATATTTTTCACTAAGCCACAGATCTAAAGTCATTGTAAGTGTTTGCTGTTTTGCTATCTTTGGTGGAGTCTTCTCTGTTTTTCTCTTCCTCCTGAGTTCTGAGGAGCGCTCTTCCAATTCATTTGCAGCCCAGACTCTCCAGAAATCCCAGTTCTCATCCCGCATATCTAGCACTTGCAATTTCAACCTCCTGTGGGTAGACCAGGAAAGAGTCTTGAGAATTGAGGCTGGGACCCAGTTTCCTCCTGTGATTTCCACAACTCTGGAGTCTGTTGCTATTTTATTTTGCTACTGCCCCTTGGATGTGTCCAGTTTTTACCTCTAGTGCCTATGCAGGAGTCAGGACTTCTTGCTCCTTTAACTGCTGCCTCCAGCATTAGCTGTCCTCCCTTTCTGGCTGTCTCAGTGGCTTAGCAGTGGGCAAGGCTTTTCTGACTGTGTGTCACTCAGCAGCAGAAGCCTCTGCTTCACTCTTTAGCCCCTACATTCTATGTCACTTTCAGTCCCTGACTCGAATCCCATGGCCCTCCCTGCAGGACACCTGGGTTACACTCACCTGGAACAAAGCTTCTGGCTCAGCAGCACGTCGACCCCACCAAGCACAGCTTGTAACATCTTCTTCTGCACCTGGACAACATCCACCTGAGTGTTTAACTTCCTTGATTTCCACATGCTTATCAGGGCCCCCACAGGCAGGTAGGGAAATGGCCAGGACAGCACCATGGCCTTGAGCACTTCAGTGTGTCCCCTGGTGAAGGCCTCCATGAACACTGGTGGGAAGAGCTCTCCTGGCAAATCCTCCATGGCCCTCATGGCCAAGGCCTTGTCTGTCAGCAGACTCTGAATTGCCAGTTTCAGTAGTCTGTGTGGGGACTGGATGCTCATTCTGGTATATCTGGAAGGCAAGGGTGCTGGGGAAACATTGAGAAAAGAGACATCCTTTCAGGGTTTGCTGACACACCCATTCACACCCATCTGGAAACAAACGTGCTGCCAAAAAGACCCTGGTCCAAGAAGTGCCATAGAGTCCTCAGTTTGTGGCATATCTATTTTGTGTTCATTGTCCCAAAGGACTGCTGATGCCTGCTAGTGCCCAGATGAAGCAAGGTGAGAGCAACACAACTTTTTTCAACCGAGCACCCTGAACTCTGGACCCACTGCCAAATGGGAGCCAAGGAATCAGAAACTGACTCCCACGTGTTGTGGAAAATATTCTCATGCTCACTTCAAGGAAATATAACCAAGAAAATGGAAAAGTCATATGGCCCAGTCTCTAACTGATTGCTTCCCAAATATGCTTGGTAAAAAAAATATGTAGATAATGAAATGAATGCCATGAATTTTCATTTTAAAGAATGATAGAACTCTGGTTTCTTCTCCTACACCTGAGCTGGCAAAAGAAGGGATGGATCTTTTCTGTTTGCCTCAACTTTGGTTCCCTGGCTTGGTTCATGCATCACCTGGCAGTGGAAATAAAGACTCGGTAGGACAAGCACTCAGTAGTGTGAGCTGATGGTCTGGGAATTTTGTAAGCTGTGAAACCTCTTTATGGATGAAAATATAGTAACCTCAGGAAGTCACAGTTCAGAATTTAAGGCCTCTGTCATTCATGAATTTTTCTTTAAAACTTGGTTTGTATTTGGTTGCAGCGACTTCCTGAATTTTGTGGAAACCACAAAAGTCTTCCACATTTATTTATTTATTTATTTTTTGGTGAGGTTTGCAAGTAGACAATCCAAGATTATTCAGTTCTTCTTGCTTTTGATTGACTGCTGTACTGTAATCATCTCTGGCAGCTGCACTGACATTTCTGCATAGTAACAGGTTGCTACACAGCATGTAGCTGTCTCAAGGGTTCTCAGTTTTGTTCTGGTTAAAGCCCTAAGATTCTGCCAAAGAACCCAGCACCTGTTGTTCTGTTGAGACAATTGAACACAGATGTCTTGTGCTGTGAGTGAATCATTTGGGGATACTAGTGCACAATGTATCTACCATGGCTGCTCCCTGAATAACGTTTCGAAACTTTCTTTCTTTCTTTCTTTCTTTCTTTCTTTCTTTCTTTCTTTCTTTCTTTCTTTCTCTTTCTTTCTCTTTCTTTCTTTCTTTCTTTCTTTCTTTCTTTTCTCTTTGAAATAAAATGGACTTTTTATTATTCTCTTAAAAACTATAGTAAAAAGAGAAGCATGGAGTTTGAAGTCAGGCTAACTGTTAGGAGATGCCATTTCAAAACAAACAGAAAAAAATGGGATGTCCAGACAGGTAGGATATGTCATGCATCAGTTCTGCCTTGAGTATTTGTATTTAAAGAAAACACTGGCTAATTTTTTCTTCCATTTGCAGTGATGGGCTCAAGTCTAGAGAACATTGCATGCAGTCAACGGCTCTTCCATGAACAGAATGCAACAGATCATCAAAATTATATATCCTGAATAAGTGGGATTCATTCAGGGATGCAAGGATGATTCATTATACATAAATCCATAAAAGTGGTATACCACATTAACAGAGCCAAGAACAAAAACCATGTGATCACCTCAATAGACGCAAAAAAAGATTTTGACAAATTCCAGCACCAATTTACGTTATAAACCCTACAGAAAATTGGAATATCTGGCCTTTATCATAATCTGATAAAAGTCATTCATGACAAAGCAACAGCTGACATTGTACTAAATGGACAAATACTGAAAAATATCTCTCTGATATCAGGTACAAGATACAGATGCCCACTGTCTCCACTCTTATTCAACATAGCCCTGGAAATTTAAGCTGGAGAAAAGAAATAAATAACAGGAGTAAAGATTGGAAAGGAAGAAGTTGAACTGTCATTATTTATACAGATGACATGATACTCAACATATAAAGCCCATCAAATAAAACCAAACCATTGCTAGATTTAATAAACATATTCAATAATGTAGATGAAAAGCCACTTATGGTGGTGCACACCTGTAATCCTAGCACTCGGGAGGCTGAGACAGGAGATTTATTGCATGTTCAGAGCAGCCTGGGCTACAAAGTGAGCTCATGGTCAACCTAAACTGCATAGTGAGACCCTGTCTCAAAAACATGAAAAAACAAAACAAACAAACAAAAAAAAAAAAACGAATGTAGCTGGATATAATGTCAAAACACAAAAATCACTAGCCTTCTTGTACATGAATAGCAAACTCACTGAGAGAAATTCGAAACAACATCTTTCATAATAGCATCCAAGACTACCTAAAAAATCAATCTAACAAAGCATGTAAAACACCTTGATATTGAAAATTAACAAAAAAAAAAGGAAATTGAAGGAGAACCTATAGTGAACATGGCCGTATTTCCAAAACTGTTGATTCAGTGCAATCTCAATCAGAATTTCAATAGCATTTTTCACACAATTAGAGAAAATTTTGCTAAAACTCATCTGGAACCAGAAGAGACATACAATAGCAAAGGCAATCTTGGGCAACAAAGATAAGATAGGTGGTATTAGAATCCCTGACTTGAAATAATACTACAAATATTTGTGATAAAAACAATGTGGTACTGGCAAAAATAAAATAGACCCATTATTCCATAGAATAGATTAGAAGATACAGAAACAACTTAGACACACTAAGCAACCTTCTCTTTGACAGAGGTGACAAACAGTCACTGGAAGAAAGAGAGCCTCTTTAGTAAATGCTGCTGGGAACACTGGCTCTACACATGCCACAGATTAAAGCTGGACCCATAGCTTCCACCATGCACAAAGCTAAAATCAGAATGCATCAAAGATCTTAATATTCAAACACAAGCATTCAATCAGCTGGAAGGTAGAGGTAAGTAAAACTCTTGAAGACATGGTTGTAGGCAAAGACTTTATGAACCAAATCCTGATTACATAGGAGCTGTCACAAAGACTCAACAAGTGGGAACTTATTCTACTGAAAAGCTTATGCACAGTAAGTGAAACTACCACGAGAGTGAAGACACAACCCACATTGTGGGAGAAAATATTGCTAGCTGTACCTCAGATAAAGAAGTACTATCCAGAACATATAATGAACTAAAACATCAGTCCTCTTAGATATAAAGATGCAATCCAAAAATAGGAATCTGCACTGAATAAACACTTCTAAGATGAACAAATCCAAACAGCAAATAAATCTACAAAAAAATGTTCAATGTTATTGGTCATTTGAGAGATGCAAATTAAAGCAGCCCTGAAACCCAATTTACCCGAGAAAAATGGTTATTATCAAGAAATCAACCAATAACAAATGGTAGTGGAGCTGTAATGAAAAAGGACCCCTGGCCCACTGTTTGTGGGACAGTAGACTGGTGTAACTACTGTGGAAACCCAATGAGAAGATTGCTCAAAAACTAGCAACGGAGGTCCTAATGATCCAGCTATTCCCATTCTGAGTATCTTCCCAGAAGAATCAAAAGCATCATACTACAGTGATATATGTGAACCCTTGTTCATATTAGCAAAATTTGTAGTATATAGATTTTTAAAAAAACTAAATGCCTATTCACTGAAGAATGGATAAAAAGGCGTGGTATTTTTATGCACAGGAGTACTACTCAGCCATAAAGAATAATACACTGGATACCTTTGTGGATACATGAAACAAACTCATAATTGAAATATATCAGACACACAAATATAAACATTATTTTGTTTCAATTGTGAGAATTTGAAAGATACAACATTATATATATATATATATATATATATATATATATATATATATAATTACCAACATGCTACTGAGTTCTCTGAGGTCGTTGGAGAGAAAGATTTGTGCTTACATTGTTTGGACAGTTGAAGACAGATGTCTTGTGCTCTGTGTAACTGATTTGGGGATGACAAGGTGCAATGTATGTACATTTTTTACCCCCTGACTTATGTGCTTTGAAATTTGTTTTCTTTCCTTTTTGAATTACAATTGATTGAAAATGGGAAAGAGCTCTGCCATGAGGCAATCTTTCTGGAGCAGTTGGTAAAATAGTATTAGAAGACCTTGGGTGGTGGCACAGCCTGTTACACCAGCACTGGGGATGCTGAGGCAAGGGGAGTTCAAAAAACAGCCAGGGTTGCATAGTGAATTCAAAGCCAGGATGAACTGCCTTGTGGGCCTCTATCAAAAAGTGCTTTCAGAGATGAAAATTAAAACAACCCTGAGATTCCAACTCACTTCACAAAGAATGGCTTTTATCAGGATTTAAGAAACCAAGAAAGAAGACTTCCAAATTGTACCCCAGGCTGAATAACTTAGTGAGACCTTGTCTCTAATTCAAAGAAAAATAAAAATGGAGGAAGATGTAGCCCAGTTTGAACGTACTGATACAATCCTCAGAAAAAAGATAAGCTAAAACACTTCTCCTTCAGATTAAGGGCACACATGGTATTTTTATATACAGTATCAGCACTTGGGAAGCTGAGGGAACGGATCACATGATCTCAAGGCCAGTTTGAACTACAAAGTGAGATCCCGTCTCAAAAAAATATATGAGGAGACAAGCTAATGCACAAATCTCTTTTATTTAGCATCACAAGAAATTAAGGTGATCATGCTGAGCTTTGAAGTGATAGCTTCTGTTTAAGAAAAATATAAATTTAAAAATATTATGAGCTGATGCGCTGGGTGTGGTAGGTCACGCCTATAATCTAGCACTCGGGAGGCTGAGGTGTGAGGATTGTTTGAGAACAGCTTGGGCTACAAATTGAGCTTAATGCAAGCCTGAACTGCATCGCAAGACCCCGTCTCAAAAAAAGACAAAAAAATATTATGAGCTGAATATCGTACTGCACAACCATAACCCCAGCACCTCATGCCTAGGTAGGAGGTCTGCCATGAATTGAAAATCAACCAACGATGTATAAGTAAATCCAAGGCCAGTCTGTGCTACTA